GGGAAATAAAAGGAATGAATCCTTTTCCAAAGTTGAGTAAAGAGCTTGATTATAATTTGTTCAACGCCTGGCACATATCAGGTGCTTGGAAATGTTTTTAAAGGAATAAAATATAATATTTAAATTAGTCCAGGGCCCAAAGGCAGGAGTTTATAAACTTTGTTCCTCACAGAATTCAGTATTTCCAGTACATACAATCTGGAAAGGAAATTAGGGAGCAAAAGTCTCTCCTGAGCAGAAAACTCCATGTAGGGTGTGATGATTCCTTAATTGGTTCTTCCTCTTTTCTTTTTATCTCTGTGTTTGCCTCCTTGGACTTTGCTTGCTCCAGTATCTATTACTCCCTAAGGATATCCAATTTTCTTCTTCCTTATTTCCCCCTTAGAACAGCTGAACCAAATTAATGTTATTAACTTTACAAGAAATTTCAGGGATAAGAAATCCAGCAAAAAAGCAATAGAAGAATTTCCTGGCTTACAGATCTCATTTCAAGACCTAAGTGACAGCTCCCTGGGTGGACCTCACATGGGATCAGGCTCCTCTGGGCTGTCTTAGGGTTCTTGGGTCTCTAGATATGATCTCACTTCCCAAAGCTGGAGTCTGGTGCCTTACCAATATTTCACCAATAAAAGTGTCAATAGTCATTTATTTATGTTATGAAACTGTTTTGTTCCCTGTTCAGAAACTTCTAGAGTCTTCTGTGGATCTACTTAGTTTAAAGAGAAAGCTAGCTTGGGACTTATTTATGAGCCCGCAGTGACTGAGACTCTGGGTGGTGGTCTTCAACATTTACCATCACAATCTCACATGTGATATCACCTTAGCCAGACCTTAGCAAATGGGCATCCAGAGGTATCTGTGCACAGGGAGGAAACAGTTCTCCTCTCAGAGCAGAGTATTTCCCAGGGTTGACTGCAGAGGCATGGAACAGAAAAGCTGTACAATGTTAGTTTAGATATATTAGGTAATCCAGGGATGCTACAAAGGCCCCAGGTCCACCAGAGTCCATCTTTAGGTTAAGACCTGTTTTCGGATTCCCAGAATATGAGCCTGAGCTCTAGTTATGATGTTTATTAACTTCAGGGAAAGTAAAGAAGGGAACAGGATTAAGGAGATACATCAGTTGAGTTCGCTATTTCAAGAACCTTTGGGGAAACTCCACCCAGTGACTTCTGTCTAATATCATTGGCCAGGACTGTGTCATATGACCACTCTACCTATAAGAAACTGGAATTCTGTGCTGCATGAAACAAGATGAAAGCCCTATAGAATGAGGGGAGAAGAAAAAGAGTATTGGACAGGTAATCAACAGGCAGGCCACAAAAGAAATAAAATGCTGAGTTATCTAAATCTTTTCCTGCTGTCAGCAAAGATGGAGGCTTTTTATGGGACATGCTGATTTTTTCCTCCAAAATATCATCTTTAATGTATACTTTTAATGTTTGAAGATGACTCCCTGGGAGTTAGTGAAGTGCTAGGAGCCTTCTCTCACTAAAATAAATGTGATTCCCCTCCCAAAAGAAAAGTGACAAATCCTGTGCAGTTCTTCATAGAAACAATGAGGTGAAAACATTCGTGATTTTAATAAGATTTGGTGCAGGCCCGTGTGCAGAGAAAGACAGATACATGCTCCACGTCACCTTCTGCTTCTTTCCTTGTCTTTGTCTTCTCCCTTCCGGCCCAGAGAGGAGAAGGTTGATGGTTACATGGAACTGGTGGTCCCAAGGCTCTTCCAGGCAGTGCGGTGTTCTTCTGGTGCTGTGATCCGGGTAGTGCAACCTGAACTCATCCACCTCCCCCAGGCAGAAGGGGGTGGCTGCGTTTTTGCAGGCTCTACCTTCCAGCTGTAGGTGTAGCAGTAATATTTCCCGCGGAAAAGGCTCCTTGTCAATCTTTGGTCTGAGCTTACCCCTTTCTCTCTACATTTCAGTGAGCTCGAGAATCTATTGCTTCAGAACTCTCAGTACCATGAAGTCAGTGGAATGATCACTGTCAAGAATGAGTGCGCAACAGGGGAGCAAATGACATCATTCATCTCTGGCACAGTGGGAATGAGTGGAGATGGACGTGGTCAAGGAACATTTCTTCACTCCATGCTCTTAATAATTGAGAAACACATGGGGATACTGTTTCTAACCCTAACTACTGAAACAACAGGTGGACCTGGAAGTCATTCAAGAACTGAGATAAGGACAGCTTCTTTCATAAATGACCGGGGAGGTGAAAGTCTAGAAAATAAACAGTGAACTTCTCACTTTGAAATAGCAATAATTATAGAGTAATAAATATCAAATACATAAGAGAAAAAAGACAAAATTAAAGACATTTGTTGCATTACATGAAAAAAGCCATGAGATTAAAAAATGTAGAGATTTTGACTTCTTCTAAATAAAGTTGATAAGCAAGCATTAATGCTTTCCCCTCTGTACCTTCTGTAGTCACACACAAATGGACCCACCCCAAACACACACACGCACTCAGAGTTTACTTTTAACAAGAGTTGAAGCCATACACATTTGTGTTTGTATTTGGAGACACAGATTGGGGAGAGCATAAGGGAGGAACATCTCAGGGGTTTCCAGAAGCAAAGTGGATCATGGCTCAGCTGAGCAGCTCCTCAAAAGCCACTCCCAGCTGTGCTCCAGTCTGCCCCACTGTGAAGGCTAAACTGCTAATTGCTTTCCTTCCCTTTCTTGCAGTAAAGTGTAGGTATAAGACCTAATTCTGGGTCATGCGGAGTACATGGAAATCTGCTGGGGTGTCTGTGAGAGAACTTTTGGGTCTCTGATGAAAGGACATGTATTTGCCTGGTGTGGCCTGGTGCCCACTGTTGCTTTATCATAGTCACTTAGACATTGCACTGATTCTTGTCAATGCCAGAGCAAACTTAGTAGCTGAAGACAATACAGATCTGTTATCTCACCATCCTGGGTGTCAGAAGACTGAGACAGGACTCACCTGATGGAAACCAAGGGGTAGGCAGTGCTCAGTTCCGTAGAGTTTCCAGAGAGAATCTAATTCTTTGCATCTCACTGTGCGGGCTCTAGAAGCCACCACATTCCTTACCTCTTGGCCCTTTCCTCTGTGTTCAAAGCCAGCAATGCTAGAATGAGTCCTCCTACCACCATCCAGGGACTCTGGCTTGCTTTTCCACTTTAATGACCCTTGGAGTTAGAAGGATCCCACCTGGATAATCAGGATAATGTCCCCATATGGAGTGGGCTGGTTGCTAACTGCAGTCCCCTTCCCATGTAAACTCACAGCAGGCCCCAAGGAGTGGCATGTGGACTTTCTTGGGGACCAATCCTCTGCCTTCCCATAGATGCCATGACAGATGGGAGCAGCAGCACCACATTGGCGTCTGCACCCAAATCATCACCTACAGAGCTGCAGACTTCTTGCTACAGGAGAAAAATAAACACCTGTGATTGTGATTTTTATTGCCTATGAGTGGATACATCTCTAATGCATATAGACTTAAATATTATATCACTAAGAACTTGTTATTTTCATAAGGCAAGATAAGACAATTTTTAAATTTGCATTTCTTAGAAAACTTGCTACTTCTGACTGTTTTCTAGCAATGCACATTAGAAATCTATTCTGGAAATTTAGGAGCTGAATAAACAATTCATTCTTCATTATGGAAGTTGTGACTGAAAAAAATGTGGCTATAATCACTTCAACTATATAAATTTGTAGGATAAATAAAACACAAAACAAGATATAAACCTGCAAATTACTATCCAGTAATGAGGGAAATTAAGTAATTCAGTCTAATTATGGCATCAAAAGTTATATAAAAAAAGAGATATTAAACAAAATCTCCCTTGCCAGTGAACTAGGACAAACAATCAACAAGTGGGATTTCTTCTTATTAAAAAGCTTCTGCACAGCAAGAGAAACCACCAGCAGTGTGAAGAGACAACCCACAATGTGGGAAAA